GAACTACTTTACCAGGACACGACACCATGAACTAGGTTCAGCTAATATCAACATGGGAGAAGGACGTCAATGTTTTCTATGCAACAAGACTGGCCTAATTAAGAGGTCTTGTCCAAACAGGCGTCGCCAGTAAGACACGGTGGCCTCAGTTTAAGAAACCCAAGGAAAATTTTACGCTGTCAGCACGACAATCACAGGTGAAGATACTATTCTTGTCGCGTCATGCTAGACAGCCCAAGGTACCCAAGTACCAGCAAGCCAACATGCTAGGTGTCTGCTCGACTCTGGAGCAAGCCACCACATCACGAACGACCACACGATTTTATAAGGTGCGCGGTCCTGCTGCTTGGACGTTACAGTTGCAAGCAAGATGGTCGTTCGTGCGACGGAGGTTGGTGGCGTGACTATCAACCTATTCGTTGATGGTTAGGTTTGAAAAATAACTGTTAAGAATATTCATCACATCCCATCAGCAAGCGTTAATATTCTCTCAGTATCGAAACTGGCAGAGCGTGATGTCAAGGTTGAATTCACTCAAAGTGGCGCTACAGTACGAAATAAGCCAAATGCTGATGGACAACAGAGAGTGGTGGCCAAATCACCCTGGATTCGCGAATTGTGCTACCTCGTGGAGACTTCCGTCCAGTCAGGTACATTCAATGTGTCAAACACGACGGCTGACACTCTGATGCGATGGCACAAGTGACTAGATCATCTAAATACGACCGTTGTGATGCGCATGAACAGCCATGACATTGTGAGCGGAACGCGTGCCACAAACAAGAAAGTCCTCCCGTGCGACGTATGCATCAAGGCCAAACAATCGCGATATATTAAGTCAAGTGCTGATAGCGCAACACAAGCACCCACGGACGAAGTCGGTGCAGTACTATATATTGACTAAACGGTTTACCTAAAACCAAGCGACTGGCAAGGTAATGAACATGTGCTACACATCGTGGATCACACCAGCAATTACGGTGACGTCTTTGCCATGAAGACCAAAGACAAGTGGTTACCACTACTCATTCAGTTCATCACACAGTTTAAGCGACAACATGCACTTACAATCAAGGTTTTTCGTGGTGACGGCAAATTTGAGACGAAGAAGATGCGCACGTGGGTCGGTCAGTGAACATGGAGTTCGAATGCTATTTACAGAAACTGATGAATTAACGTCGAATGGCAAGGTTGAGCGACGCCATCGAATCATATTAAATGGCACGAGAGCGGTCATGTTCGACACTTTAGGTGCACAAAAACACTATGGTTTGCTACATTGAAGCATATATCGTGGTTGTCGAATCATCTCACAACACGAGCCAATCCAGGGGAAGTCTCACCGATTGAAATGCTGACCGGACGTAGACCAAACTTGTCGACAGTCGTGCCATGGAGACAACGTGTCAGTACACATATCAGGCGTGATACCATGGGCACACACCCCATGGGTGAAGAAGGCATATTCATTGGGTATGATGTTGAGCGGAAAGGCTGCATGGTGTACCCCAAGAAGTCGCGGAAGGTAATTATAACGCAACACGTAAGAATCATCCATCGGTCACCAGAAACCCTCTCGATACAAGCACACGAGACCGGTGAAACTGAATAAAAGGACCTTTGCACTATTTTAATTTACTTACTACACTAATCGGCGAGGCGATTGATGAAGCAGAGGATCCTGCTGATATCGATTATGAAACCCTTGTACGGAACGTGCAAGTACCACCGACCCAAGCGTCAGATACGGGTACCACAACTGGTTCTTCACAGGCGCCTTCAGTAACAAGGCGAAGCAGTCGATCTCATCGTATTCCAGCAAGATGCCGTGACTAATTTGAAGGAACTCAGACCGGTGCCAATATTTTAAATGTCTAGGAGTATCGGTCAGAAGCGACTTGAGATACGACGTCATCCCGAACGCGATCGCCAAATGATCTTAACACTCCGAACAAGGATCTTTATATGCATCCTATTCAGTAACGGATCCAGTCAATCGCCGACAATCAATCGAATCCCCAGTATGCGATCAATAAAAAGCAGCGATCAAGACCGAGTTGGAAGCTCTGATTGCGAACGTTGAAGGTAACAAATCGCCCTTTGGACGTCACTGTTGTACCAAGCAAATACGTGTTCAAGGTTTAACGCGACCACACGGGTTCCATCGAGCGTTTCGAGGCTCGTCTCGTCGCACGTGGCTTCTCACAAGTTCAAGAAACATGACGCACATGTCGCATCACCGATTCTTTACACTCTCCCATGATGCGCACATACAAGTGTCGAATTTCCTACCCTTGTAAGTTCAGACCTTGCAGAAAAATTGCATGCTTGGTCCGCCCAAGAGCCTTCGCCAAGTCGTCCGCAATAATCTCGTCTGTTGGCTTGTACTCAAGCTGGATGACGCCTTCCATTACTCTCGAAAGAAACTAAAACTTTATGTCGATATGCTTTGTTCTCGAATGAAAGACTAAATATTTTGCCAGTGCGATGTATCGAGATGGTCTTTATGCGCAAACCTCGTATTGAGGTACTGCGACTTTTTGGCAGCCTTTGCCAACAAGTGCTACCACACTAATCCACTTAAGCTACAGCGTGATGAAAAACATCACTCAATATTGTCCTATAGGTGTAATACTACTGAGAGCAAACATCACATAATATTGTCCTACAGGTGTAATACTACTTAGAGCAACTACATGAACACGCTTATCCCGACGCATGTCCATTCCATAACGCACATGGTAAACGTCTTGCGTACTTGCTTAGCTGTCGCACAAAAGTCACAGAAATTTTTCAGATGCCTGCTTTTTCCTTTGATGCAGCCGTCTTTTATCAGCTTGTTCACGGTCGAGTATGACACGTGTCCAAGTCGGCGATGCCACAGTTCAGCTTCGTTTTCGACAATCAATCAGGCTGGTCCATGATTTATGCTTTGATGCAGCCGTCTTTAATCAGCTTGTTTACGGTCGAGTATGAAATGTGTCCAAGTCGGCGATGCCACAGTTCAGCTTCGTTTTCGAGCACATGGCATTGTGGAACCTCTTCGACAATTAGTGTTAGAAGAATCCCACGTCGCACACCTGTTGCGACGATTTGCCCGCTTTTGAATACAATACATCCTGCACTGTTGATCTCAATCTTCATCCCGCGCGCAGTAGCTGCTGTCAGCGAGAACAGGTTCTTGTTGAGGTCTTGCACGTGAAGTGTATTCTCCAGTCGTGCACATGTCGAGAATGTGCCGTTCCAAACACGCAAGACCACCGTGCCTTGCCCAAGCACCTTTGAGCTAGCATTGTTTTTCGCACTATTCACGTTGCGAGCTGTCGACAAGTCCGCGTGCTCGATAAACGCGTCTCTATCCTTGCACATACTGTGCGTATCGCTTCAGTTGAGCACGATTGCCGCATGCGCCTGTTGCTCATTCGCCTCGGAGACGCCAGATGTGCCGTTGCGCCGCTGTCCATGATCCAGCAGTCACTTGTATTTTCTTGAGTGGCGTTAAACGCCACGTTTGAGTGATCTTCTTGTCTCTCGCTACTTTCATGTTTCTTTTTTTCTGGCAGTCGCGTGCGTAATGTCCGCGCTTTCCACCATTATAGCACTGAACACCGGACCCTGTCTGTCGCTGACCACCGCTCCTTTTGTTGCAGTTTTTCTTCTCCTGTCGATTTCCGGCATGTAGAGCTCTCTCGTCTTCAATGCGCAATGTTACTTCTTGCGCACTTCCTCGGCGATCAGGTTGCTCACCAGATCTTTAAAGCTGAACTGCGTGACGTTCATGAATAAAGCCTGCACTACACTCTCATAATGTGCCGAAAGACTTTGTAGCAATGTTGCACACGTATCTTCTTCACTCGGTCCACACAAAGCTCCATTCATCTCTAGCACGAGTCGCTCTAGCTCCATGATGTGAGTGCTTATGTCCGTCGCGGAATACTTGAATGTAGCAAACCTCTCTTTCAGCCAAAGCCGACTTGCCTTGTCTTGAGTCCGATGAACTCGTGCAAGGCCTTCCATGCTTAGCGTGTACTATCCGTTGTTACGACATGCATGAGCTGAGTATCGCTCAAGTTGAGCACGATTGCCGCTTGCGCCTGATGCTCCTTAGCCTCGGAGACGCCATATGCGGCGTTTACCGCTTCCCATAAACCTTTGGGAATGAGGTACACCTTCATCTTGAACGCCCACAACGGATAGTTAATACCGTTAAACAGTGCTACCTAAGGCGCGGAGTCGTTACTTGGGCTCATAACTTGTCCAATGTTAGCGGAGCGTTGAAGTGAAGAAGACTTGTTGATTGAAGCAGCAAAATCAAAAGTGGATTATGTTATGCGTTGGATCACGTTCCTACCGTTGCCTATCATCTTTCCTGGTCCGTCCTTCTTTTCAACCGTTTACCAAATCAGAGAATGTCCTTTCTCATGTTCATTTCCTATACACGGTTCTTCCTTTCTCATTTTCCTTTCCCATAAAACGGTTTCCCTTCGGTGACAAAAATGGGGGACGTCACTGCCTGGCAAGACAGTGCTGGTGAACCCCAAACACCAGGACCCGAAGGTTTAACTTTCGCTGCCGGGATCAAACCGGTGACCTTTGGTATAGAGCTGCCACATTAATCCACTAGAGCTACAGCATGATGAGAAACATCACTCAATATTGTCCTATAGGTGTAATACTACTTAGAGCAAACATCACACAATATTGTCCTATAGATGTTTTACTACTGAGAGCAAACATCACACAATATTGTCCTACAGGTGTAATACTACTTAGAGCAACTACATGAACACGCTTATCCCGACGCATGTCCATTCCATAACGCACATGTCGCATCAACAATTTTTAAAAGCAGTTTGCGTATCACGATTAACGTAGGCATTCCAACGCCTGGAGCGGGGGCTTTAACTAATGTCACAGCTACATAAAATGCCGGAATCAGACTGGTGGGCGTCAAATCGGAGTCAGTAGACGGCATCTACGCCGTGTTGGAGATCGCTGCGATGATGCCGAGCATGAACGTTATGTTGCAGTGGACAGCCAGCCGCGTTGTTAGTTCCCTCAGCCCCGAGGACTTCCACGAGCCGATGGAGGTGACGCACGCTGCAATATGTCGCGTGCCAAATGTGCTTCTTGTTGTCGGGTCTGGCGTAGGTAGTTTGGAGGACTCTAAACATTAGATTACGGGTGAATGGAGTATAACTCGTGGACACGTGCACAAGATGCCTGTGAATAATGTTTTTATGGGCTCTTTTGTCATTGTTGCGAATGAGGCTGCGGCTGTACCGGAAGTAAAGCAGCTGCTCGTTGACCCTTATGGTTTGAGTCCCAGCTGGAGTGGGAAACACGCTATACGGGCGTTGTGGACGGCGTAGTCACGGTTATGTCAGAGCTGGGCGAGCTATTCACGTAGTGGCGAACCACTGCGCTGTGGAAGATATTTGATGACAAGTACTGTGCCATACCGCGTGGTTAATTAGAATCCTAGTCCTTCGCCTCAACATGAAGGACTTTAGTGCTGGTCTGAACGCAGACTACCAAAAGCCTTGTTTCGGTCGCAAACGCAAAGATAAAACCGGTGAGAGCGCCCCGGCTGATCTACCGAAAATGCATATGGTGAAGTTTTGGCGCGTATGATCGAGTTATGTACGTAGAGATTGAAAATAAGCCATCTCGTTGGCTGCACGATACCTTCTTTTCGTGTGTGAGCAAGTTCCTCACGCGTTCAGAGGAGCGTTTCTGCCGCGAAAGTCTTGGCGACGTCTTCGACCTATCGGAGCTGAGGACAAAAACGCGGGCAGCTGTAAGTTTCTTTGTCGCGAAGTACATAAAGACCGTGCCGACGCCACTGTCTGTCCCGGATTGTGATATTTTCCTAGAGTTGTACCGCACTGGCGGCAATCCCATAAAGTTTGTGCCTGTGATCGATACCGGGTTCGTAACATGACTCATGAAGGGTTCGTTGTGGTAATCAAATAATCTGGACGCGGTTCCGGAATGCGATGCGTAGCGTGTGTTTGTACTTCGGTCCTTTATGGCTGTCCGCTATATCAAACTCATGGATGAGCCCGTTACGGACATCCCAGGCGACATAGCAACTGGCTTCGCTAGTGTCGTAAAGGAGGGCGGAGTACCTGCTCCTGTCAAACCTTTGCCGGTCCGGCATACCTGGACAATTGCCGGCATAAAAGTTGTAAAGAGCGACGGTAGAGTGGAGTTGGTCGTACCGATGGAAGAGTGCTGTACCCTCCACTGATAAGTGTCTTGCTGATCTCGCCTCATCGGGGAGCGACAAAGAGTGGCTGAACCGTGCTTATCTCGTTGGCATATGTAGCTGAGATAAAGAAGTGGCTCGCGAACACTGTCCGGCAGCTCCTATCCCCGAGTAGGCAATAAGTACGGGATCAATGCTGCCGGCATACGTGTTTTTGACAGCTCTTTTGATCTTCCGGATCCTGTGATCAAGATTACGAAGAGGGACGCGACGATTGTGGTCGTTGTGAATGAGGTGCGCCCGGTTGTGAAGGAATTAAGGCCAGCGTTGTCGCGCTGCTGATGATAGTTCAGTACTACCCAGAGTTGCCGTGTTCGATTCACGCTGAAGACAGCGGTTTTGTTGACAAAGTGGATTATGTTATGCGTTGGATCACGTTCCTACCGTTGCCTATCATCTTTCCTGGTCCGTCCTTCTTTTCAACCGTTTACCAAATCAGAGAATGTCCTTTCTCATGTTCATTTCCTATACACGGTTCTTCCTTTCTCATGTTCCTTTCCCATAAAACGGTTTCCCTTCGGTGACAAAAATGGGGGACGTCACTGCCTGGCAAGACAGTGCTGGTGAACCCCAAACACCAGGACCCGAAGGTTTAACTTTCGCTGCCGGGATCAAACCGGTGATCTTTGGCATAGTGCTGCCACACTAATCCACTAGAGCTACAGCATGATGAGAAACATCACTCAATATTGTCCTATAGGTGTAATACTACTTAGAGCAACTACATGAACACGCTTATCCCGACACATGTCCATTCCATAACGCACATGTCTCATCACCGATTCTTTACACTCTCCCATGATGCGCACATACAAGTGTCGAATTTCCTACCCTTGTAAGTTCAGACCTTGCAGAAAAATTGCATGCTTGGTCCGCCTAAGAGCCTTCGTCAAGCCGTCCGCAATCATCTCGTCTGCTGGCTTGTACTCAAGCTGGATGACGCCTTCCATTACTCTTTCGAAAGAAAGTAAAACTTTATGTCGATATGCTTTGTTCTCGAATGAAAGACTGGATTCTTTGCCAGCGCGCCGCAACCTTGATTGTCTTCAAAGATAGTCGTCGCCGCTTCCATGTCAAAGCCAATGTTGGAAAGTAACAGGCGTAGCCACACCGCCTCTTGTGCTGTAGAGTACAATGCCATATACGTAGCTTCGGTGCTAGATGTCGCCCCTGTCTGTTGTCGCTTCGACTTTCAGAACACCACATTGCCATGCAAAAAGAAAATGCATTCTGTCGGCGATCGGCTAGAATCCAAGTTGCTTGCCCATGGTACATCTGCGAAACCTAGCAGCCCTCCCTTGTCCTTGCCGTGAAAGACAATACTGTAATCCGCTGTCGTCTTTAGGTATTTGAGAACGCGCTTGGCTGCGATCCAGTGGCTTTTCCCATAACAATCGCATTACTTGGTCACTTCTCCTACCGCGTGCATTATGTCTGGTCTTGTGCACGTTGCAACGTACATAATTGCACCAACTAGCTCACGGTAAGGCCATTTGGGTAAAAATTCGTCATTGTCGCCCAGCTTGGTCAGTCTATCACTTTAATTTGACGATGTGTGCATGTCCTTGCATTAATCGACGCCACATTTCTCCGCCTAACGCTTGATGTACGAACGCTGATTCATTCTGATTGATTTGCACTCGTAATCACGTGTCAATTCGATGCCGAGAAATTACTTCAGCTCGCCTAGCTCCTTGACACTAAACTCGGTCTTGAGTGCACTTTTGATGTCATCAATGTGCTCTTGTGTACGCGCGAAAAGCATCAAGTCGTCAACGTGGATGATCACAAAACTAATTTGATCATCTGATCGTCGTACATGTACACAAAGATCGGCAGCCGTACACGTGAACCCTTGGCCTACAAGGTGAGCGTTTAGACGACAATTCCATTATCGTGCCGCTTGCTTTGTACCATACAAAGCCTTGTGGAGCAGACGTTTCTTGTCACGGTGTTGCTTGTCAACAAATTTATCAGGCTGGTCCATGTAAATCACTTCTTTGACTTCACCGTATAGGATTGCAGTGTCGACATCGACATTGACCATTAGCAAATCTTGTTCTGCCACAAGTGCAAGAGCAACGTTGATCAACTCTTTTCGCGCCACTGGAGCAAAAGTCTTAAAATAGTCCACGCCAGGACGCTGGGTTAACCCCTTCGCCACGAGTCGTGCCTTGAACTTCACAATTTATCCATTTGGTCTGCGTTTTATGCGGAAGACCCAGTTGCAACCGATTGATCTCTTGTCCAAAGGTAAAGTTTGAAGCGTCCACGTGTCGTGCTGCGTCAGAGATTAAATTTCACATTCCATGGCACGCTTCCATTCATCCTTGTACTTGCTACGCAGCACTTGATTGCAAGTCGACGCGCTTTCACCATCTTCTTCTGCGCTAAAGTAGTATTGTGCCTCGTAGCTCGCGTCGTAGTCGTCGAGGTTAAAAGTCCCTCGCCTGAGATTGGTAAACACTTGTTCGTAGCGCTTAATGGCTTGTTTCTTCCGTACTGGTCTCACATTAGACTTTTGTTCGCCGTCTCGTCCTGGTGTGCTTGATTGTCGTGTCGAGATAGAGCCGTTTGGTTTATTCGTTGGCCCCGTTCGGTCAGGCGTCATTACCGAACTGCCTGGATACAGCGTGCAGGTGTCTTCATCGCTTGTGCGTGATCACTTGGATCCTGGTTACCTTCACTGTCATCTAAAGCGTCAAAAACACTAGAAGTGTCTTCGTTGCATAATTGATCCACCACAGTTTCCGCAAATGTCACACTTCGGGAAATGAATACTTTTTGGTGGTTGTATCAAGGAGTCGATACGCTTTGTGCTGCTTGGCGCATCCGAGCAGCATACACCGTACACCCGAGGGGTCCAGCTTGCTTCGCTTCGCTTTAGGAATATGCGCGTAGCAAAGGCTGCCAAAAACTCGCAATACATCAATAAATGGTTTGCGCCTGAAGACCATCTCGAATGGGCTTGAGTTTGGATTAGATGCGCTTGGTAGAACGGTGCGGATATCCACAGCGGTCAGTATTTCCTCACACCAGTATGTCTTTTTCATCTAAGCCTCGCTCAGCATACAACGCGTCATCTCGACCAGTGTGCGGATTAGTCGCTCTGCCATTCCATTCTGCTCCGGATTGTATGGCACTGTGAACTCCTGCTTGATCATGTTTTGCCGACAAAACTAGTCATAGCATCATTTCAGTTTTCACCGCCATTATCACTGCGTAACACCTTCACGTCCAACATGCATTCGAGCTCAACATCGTGATTGTACCTATTAAAGGCTTTGGTGGCATCGCTCTTCTTGCATAGCGGGAAGACCATCGCATAGCGGCTTTTCTTCATCATGAACGTCACGATGTAGCGATAGTCCGACCTTGATGCTGGTGTCATTGGTCCTAGAACATCCGAGTAGACAATTGAGTCTATACGTTGACCCTCCCTTGCTGCAGCATCAGCCCCAATATTGCTGGATGTCTTGCTTGCGTACTTGCTTGGCTGTCGCACAAACGTAACATCCAACTTTCGGATCCATGCTTGTAAGTTTGACGCAGCCGTCTTTAATCAGCTTATTCACGGTCGATTATGACACGTGTCCAAGTCGACGATGTCACAGTTCAGCTTCGTTTTCGACAATCAATCAGGCTGGTCCATGATTTATGCTTTGATGCAGCCGTCTTTAATCAGCTTGTTTACGGTCGAGTATGAAATGTGTCCAAGTCGGCGATGCCACAGTTCAGCTTCGTTTTCGAGCACATGGCATTGTGGAACCTCTTCGACAATTAGTGTTAGAAGAATCCCACGTCGCACACCTGTTGCGACGATTTGCCCGCTTTTGAATACAATACATCCTGCACTGTTGATCTCAATCTTCATCCCGCGCGCAGTAGCTGCTGTCAGCGAGAACAGGTTCTTGTTGAGGTCTTGCACGTGAAGTGTATTCTCCAGTCGTGCACATGTCGAGAATGTGCCGTTCCAAACACGCAAGACCACCGTGCCTTGCCCAAGCACCTTTGAGCTAGCATTGTTTTTCGCGCTATTCACGTTGCGAGCTGTCGACGAGTCCGCGTACTCGATAAACGCGTCTCTATCCTTGCACATACTGTGCGTATCGCTTCAGTTGAGCACGATTGCCGCATGCGCCTGTTGCTCATCGCCTCGGAGACGCCAGATGTGGCGTTCTCCGCTTCCTATGACCCTTTGAAAATGAGGTACATCTTCACTTTAAACGCTCATAACGGAAAGTTGGTACCGAAGCACGGGGAGCCCTCGCACGAGTTCATCGGACTCAAGACATGGCAAGTCGGCTTTGGCTGAAAGAGAGGTTTGCAATATTCAAGTATTCCGCGACGGACATAAGCACTCACATCACGGAGCTGGAGCAACTCGTGCAAGAGATGAATGGAGCTTCGTGTGGACCAAGTGAAGAAGATACGTGTGCAACACGTAGCTAAGGAGCAGCACTGCATGCGGCAATTGTGATCAACTAGAGCGATAAGAACCGGTGATGCGACATGTGCGTTATGGAATGGACATGCGTCGGAAAAGCGTGTTCATGTAGTTGCTCTAAGTAGTATAGCACCTATAGGACAATATTGAGTGATGTTTCTCATCATGCTGTAGCTCTAGTGGGTTAATGTGGCAGCTCTATACCAAAGGTCACCGGTTTGATCCCGGCAGCGAAAGTTAAACCTTCGGGTCCTGGTGTTTGGGGTTCACCAGCACTGTCTTGCCAGGCAGTGACGTCCCCCATTTTTGTCACCGAAGGGAAACCGTTTTATGGGAAAGGAAAATGAGAAAGGAAGAACCGTGTATAGGAAATGAACATGAGAAAGGACATTCTCTGATTTGATGAAACGGTTGAAAAGAAGGACGGACCAGGAAAGATGATAGGCAACGGTAGGAACGTGATCCAACGCATAACATAATCCACTTTTGATTTTGCTGCTTCGATCAACAAGTCTTCTTCACTTCAACGCTCCGCTAACATTGAACCAATCCCTCTTATAACGTCAATGTTGTACCAAGCAAATACCTATTTAAGGTTAAACGCGGCCACACGTGTTCCATCGAGCGTTTCGAGTTTCGTCTCGTCGCACGTGGCTTCTTACAAATTCATGGAGTGGACTACTAAAATTCTTATTCTGCGGTCATTCGGTCGGCAGTATATTCTTTCTGTTCGCAGTTGCGAGCATCTGCGCCAGGCTGATGTTTCTAACTCATGTGTGAAAGGAACAATCAAGGAGAAGGTTTACATGAATCCACCTCCGGAATTCGATTTACCACAAGAAAAGGTGTTGCGTTTGCTAAAGCCACTGTATGGCCTCAAACAGTCTGGTCGATGCTGGAACGACAGCATTAACAATTATCTCGAGTCGATATAGTTTCGTCGGTGCAACTTTGACCCGTGTGTCTACGTTCTTTACGCTGAAAATGGATACATACTACTTTGGGGTATATGTAGATGACATTTTGATGGCTGGGTCGACACCAGACATCATGAAGCGAGTGACACATCTACTGCTCAATCGCTATGACATCAAGTCTGGACCAGCAGAAACGTTCCTGGGGATGAACATTACGGTCAATTGCCGTTTTTTTCTACTTCTCACAGCCACGCGTGGTGGACGAGCTCCTCGTTCGCTTCAATATGGAACTCTGCAAACCAGTAGGGACTCCAGTGGACAACAACATCACCTACAATATCGTCGACGAAAGCTACATGAGGATGTGCGTGGATACCGAGAAGCAATCGGACGACTTCTTTGGATGGCCAATGTGACTAGACCAGATATCTCATATGCAGTCAGTATTGCGGCGCGACATCGTATAGAACCAAGGGAATGCTACTGGCAACTCGTGAAAAGAATTATCAGATACGTTGCGTCCGGTTTCTACCAGTTTGTACCGTGCCTCAATCGAACCGCCGTTCAGCTTAGTATTTACGACGTAGTTCTTACGGTAATTACCATAGTTGATTAGCGCGTAGGATGATGAGACCTTCACATGATTTATATGTGCACCACATATAAATCATGTAGTAAATAGTAAGCCCCGATAATCAATCACTTTCCAATCTTCCATCTACCCCAAGTGTCTTCTCCGGTCTTCCAAGTGGACTCTCAGCATCCCTCCCAGTTTCGTCGTCAAGCTCTTCATCATTCAACGAGGCCCCCCACCCGCCTGCCGACCAGGGGACCGCCGCCCGGGCCCCGCGCGCGGCGCATTTCTCGTGATGGGAAGGGTCGTGACGCGCCGGCCTGCCCTCGCGCCCGCAGCCTCAACTCCACCCCCAGCTCCCACCCCACGCAACCCCCCGAGCGCACACCGCAGTACCCACGGCCCCGGCCACGCCCCCCGCGCAAACGGCAAGGCGACAGCCAGGCCCAGACCACCGCCAACAACAACAAACAACCACAAAGTCATCCACCCAACCCCCAGCCCCCCGCCAAACCCCCCCGTGCACCCACGGGGCACGACGCCGGCCACCCCAACCCTCAAAAACACAAAAAAAATTCAGAACACAAAACCCCCTTTTTTTATGCAACACACAAAAAAGAACCCAAACCCAATCCCAAAACACAAAACCAGCTCAAAAGACCGCCAAAACCCCAACAACAACAAGCAAAAACATTCAAGCAAAAAACCAATCGCCACTCCTTCATTGTGACATCTACGGTGGAGGAGACGGCCGAGGAATCAACGGTGAAATTTCGTCGTATCTTTCGAAGGTCTTCGCCCTCCAAGGGCTCCGCTGCGTCTACGGATTGGGTCCCATTGAGAACAAGTTCATGCAAGCAATGTACTTTGTATGGGGAACGTGTCGGATCTGACAATTAAATCCTAAGCCCCCACTCCAAATCATTCGTTGAGGGAGAACATTGACTGGGGTAGTTTCAAAACCAAAAAATTGAGGGTAACACTTTCGTTACCAAAATCCAATCCATTCCAGAAATAAGATCGATTCGTGCTACTCAGATGGGGAACTGACCAAGTGATCGTTACTTTCAGTGATCTCTGTAGTTGAAGAATCAATGTGCTGTCGAAGGAAGCGAATACATACTATCTGCCATCAAAGAAGTGGGTGCATCCCGCTAAGATTTTGCAAACGACCAGGACCGGACCTCGTCATCGTGAAAACCAGTGTGCATCAAGATGACAAAGAATCGGTGAATCATGGCCCAACACATCACATCAAGTACCATACATCGTGATGAGTCAAGCGCGGTGAAGTGAGTCATATTGGAGACTACGTGATGATGGGCATCATGACCAAGGGACTTTCGGGACCTCGTCACAAGGATTGACGAGGTCTCGGATTGTGGAGTTCGGATTGAGGGGGTGTTGACGTATCGGTTTCTACCAGTATTGGTAACGTGAGGTCAATCGAAGCTGTTCAGCTTAGTATTTACGACGTAGTTCTTACGGTAATTACCATAGTTGATTAGACGCGTAGGATGATGAGAGCTTCATGATTTATATGTGACCACATATAAATCATGTAGTAATAATAGCCCCGATAATCAATACTTTCAATCTTCCATCTACCCAAGTGTCTTCTCGTCTTCAAGTGGACTCTCAGCATCCTCCCAGTTTCGGTCGTCAAGCTCTTCATCATTCAACAGATACCTCAAGGGCACTCGTGATCCAGGCATTGTGCCCTATAAAGAAGTCACACCTCTCAGCCTCAAGAATCTCGACGTCGCAATTTGGTCAGACGCAGAATGGGCCGGAGATAAGCTCGACCGGAAGCGAACCCGCACTTATTGTTAACGGACGACTCGTGACTTGGTCACCTCGCAAACTACCTGTGGTCGCACTTCCAACCATGGAGGCTGAATTCATCGCGGGAGCTCAAGCGACTTCTGAGTGCGGCTGGATTCCGTAACACATTCGAGACATCTATATTAATTAGGATCACCCGGCACCTACAGATAGACAACAAGAGTGCTATACAAGATTACCAAGAAAAAGGTGGTGTCAAACGCGTCAAAACACACTTCTATTCGGTTCCACTTAATTCGTGACGAGCATGCGAACAGTCGAGTCGAGATTGAATGGTGTGCATCGGCAGATCATCTTGCTGATTTATTCACAAAGCCACTCACGCGGACAGTCTTCACTCGTCTTCGACAGTCGTTGGGTCTCATCCAGCAGTAGCAGCGTATTGATCCAGGGGGAGTGTTGCAAGGTGGTTGCCGTAGTACCTGTGATTGTTGCAGCATTATGAGGTGCTACAGCACTCCAACTACGATGGCCGGTGCTGGGGTCAACACGCTCGAGCGGACCTTCAGTTGCAACAGGAATCTATACCACATAAGTGGGGTAACATCGAAGCCACATCAAGACCTTGGATGACGAAGGTAAGATCGATGTGCGTACATTTGTAGGAAGAAGACAAGTAAGTAAAACGCGACGGGTAGCGCCAAGTTAGTCATTCCCAATGCTACTAAATTGTCAATAAAGCCGAGTTTCTCACTTGCCAGTTGTCACTCCTTTAACTGTCTATAGAAACTTGCAGCACTACTCGCTGGTCGGAGTGGCGTCTGTCAGTTTTGAACGCAGAACTAAATTGACTGCTGGTGATAGCTCCTTAGATAAGCTAGCAGGGGACCAAGATGGTCCTAACGGTTCGTTTTCTTTGGATTTTTGATGCCCGTGCGCGATATGAGGCTGACCTGAGCGTGCAATAATACCGAGAAGGACCAGTCAATATTAACTTACGATTCTTCCGTCACGCACTTGGCGGCTAGGCTAACTACCAAGTTGACGTGGTGTGACGCACACCATACCCGTATAGTTGGGTTAATATCCGTCGCCACCATGCGCGTGACGAGATCGGAATGGCGGTGACGGTCCTTCATCGTGCTCTCCTCTTCGGAAGACATGCTGATGAGCTTAGCACTCCATGGACCGTTGAGCGCGTCAGTGACCTTCACCAGCATTTTAAAGATGTTCTCGCTCGTAACTGCCTAAAATCGGGACGGTGACCTGTTGCAGGTTGTATATCTTGCGGCCGAAGAAAACGCGCACGCGCATACCGAACAATGACTGGCCGAGATGTGTTATGTCTCATGCAGCCAGAGATATCGCCCAGAACTAGTCGTGGTCAAGTAGGTCGGCGATGTGCAGCAGGCTGGTTCTGACGAGGACGCAAACGTACTGGCTGACAATGGAGTCGTTGACGCTAGTCAGCTGGGCCGTACTTGTCAGGATGCTGGCGTGCCTAATGGATTTTGATACCTATAGAAAAACATGACGATCGCTAAAATTATATAGCCTGATTAAGCGTATGGCGTGTGTGGTCGAGTGGTGATCGCTCATTTCTTGAGACGATCCCGACTCTCAACTGGCGCCCAAACGACCGACTAACGGAGGCGTACTCCGATTCCGTGTAAAGCGCTTTCCTTACCTTGTTACCCGTCGGTAGGGCGGGTTGCACTCTTCCAGGTGGACTCGTGTCGGGGGAAGACTTGACCGTTTTGGGAATGGGTTCGTGTGATCGGGCGGAAAACTTCGCTCGATCACTGGGGTATCGGCGGGGTACTAATATAAGTTACCCTAATCTCAACGCGATCGCCTTGCCCACTGTGTGGGTTCTTGATACGCGAGCCTTCTGACCACTTGACTCGTCTCGCGATCTTGCGCCTTGACTTAATGTGTCTTGCTGCATCCGATCGCAGTTTTAGTTACCTTAAAACTCATGAGCGCACCTGGCCAAAAATCCAGATGCGACACTTATATGTGAGGTTAAATCACCAATCGAATTTATAGGAGGTGGATCAGTGACCACCCAATTCAGACGTCACGTTTTGGTGGAAAATGGTACCAAGTGAATCAGCGATCCACTAGGAGATGGAAGATGATCCCAACGGAGATCACCGATCCGATCCAACTATCACCAGAATGATGGACGTAGGACAATCTAAGGCGAGGAGTAGAAAGGGATGATTTCCATGAAACGATCTGGGACGAGTCGCAGATATAAATAATTACCACGGTGTGATTTGGGACAAGGAAGTGGGACGAAGTCATACAATTTACCTGGATGTTTGTTAAGGAGGGGATACGTACATTTGAGCAGGTGAAGACTGAATCGCAGATTTGGATGCGAAGTTCTCTTGATTCACGAACATGTGGAACATCATATTGACCGATATCGGCAACGGTCGTATATATTGTGGCAGAATTACTCTGGGAAAGGTAGATATAGAATCAGGTGGTGCGATTTGACTCTGTGACGAAGGTGTGACATCCGGCAGATCGGTGCCATTTCCATTGTCTCACACTGGGAGTACTGATTTTGGTTTATAATAGCCCGATATGGAAGTGTAAATACTCATGGGAGCCCAGGAATTTATTCTAAGACATAAGAAGGATCTAGTGGACCCGATAAACCCTAAAGGGTGTTGTTGGAGCACGTACAATGAACAAAAGAACATCTACTGCCGAATTGTACCGTGTCGATCCTCAACGATCTCGAATTGGGCATTTGAGCGGTCATGTTCCCTGTTGATTATGGATATATCGCTGATGAGACTTTTGGATCAGGATGAGTATGTGTGTGGAAGGTCCATGAGTAATGTGTTAAAGTTCAGACCAAAAGAGCCAGTGGAAGCTGGTTGAATTGACGTCACAAAATGGATTTAGACACATTTGGCGTTTGGGTACTATTATGGACTTTTTGATCCAAAAATGGGTTTGGTCCTCTTTTGGTATTTAGTCTTCATAAAATAGATCTCTATAATTTATTACAATAATTAAGGAATGAAAAAAAAACTTTTGGCTTTACGTATGATATCGGAGATATTGGCGCTATCTTTGAAGTAATTTAGTCTTGAAATTTCGACACGCGTTTAAGGGGCGGTCAAGCTAAAAGGTAATATCAATTTGGAGAGTAATCTACAGTTTGGAATATGCTAAGAGATAGGTTAGCTTTTAAATACATTTGGAAAATAAATAGACTTAAACTGTACTTCTTCTGCTCACGACGCGCGTCCCCCCCTCTTTTACGGGCAATATTTATATGGCTTCCCCGGCGCTGTAAGGCACGCGTGTTGCAAGGACACTGAAGATCTATCTTGGAGTGTTGGCCGAGATCGAGAGGAGCGATCCCGGAAAATCTGGTCCGGATCGATCAAGTACTCACACTCAACTCAACTACTAGGGTAGCAGCAACAACGAAAACGGACCGGACACAAGATCGCGAGTCGTCTCGAGTAATTAGAATGTATGGACAAGAAGAACAAGACAAGACCGAGCAAGATCGAAGCGATCTACCTGATAGATCCGCACGTTTCATTCTGGCGAAACAGGAAACGTATCTGGCCTAAATTGTGCACTTACGGCAAGATCGACCGATCCCAAGACAAGATCGACGCAAGAATATTATTGCCGAGTTAAAATTTCCGCACAGTGAAGAACCCGATCCCGAAGACAGATCGAGATTGGTGTTATTCAAGGTCAAGATCGCGACGTATGCAATTAGTGATCGTCGCGACTTAAGATCCGGATCGCAGAATGTAGTTCGTGGTGTGAAGATTTCCGCGCCGGAAGCGAACCCTCAACCCTAAATTCTCTGCAAAATCGACATCCCCAAGGCCATTACGAAGAGCTCAAGCCAGCCCAACTGACGGGCACACAGGGTGAGCACAAGGTTATACAA